GAATACATGGTTTCCTATTGTTTCTACAGATCTTAAGTATCTAGAAGTTTGAAAGAAACCAGCTCAAAAATTTAGGACTACTACCGAAGTCCGAAATGTATTTTTTTTTCCAAAAAACAATTGGACTTCCTTAGTGTTTTCTTGGAAAACATTTTGCTTCTCATCCAAGAAGCTTCTTCAGTTCTGAAGAAGCTAATTGGATGAGAAGAGAAACATTTTGGAAACCACTTTTTAAATATTTTTCTTTTCTATTTTGCTTAATTAAACTTTTTCTTTTTTTCTTGCACATTGTTTGCTCTTTACTTTCTTCCTTTTTTCCCTTTACATTAGTTTGGATTAGTTTTTAACTTTTTAAAATAAACTATAACTAAACTATAAACTAACTAAAAGAGTTTCAATAGAATTACTAAAAAAAACCAATTTAATTTTAATACATGTTCAACCAGCTTGTCAAGACAGAGTGTTGACAAATTGTGTAATTGCAGAAGGACTTGTAATAAACAATAGAAAAATCAAAGAACAGCTTAACAATAGCTTCCTCCGAAATGAAAGAGCAGCGATCTTGAAGTCTTAGTGATCTTAATCCATCAAGTCAGTACAACAAATCCCCTTGCTAGATACAGGTAGTCTACAACATATAACCACAATTGGGACTAGAAATCTGGTCATAAATCATTGCAGTTGTAAGTCAAGACTGGACCTGGTTTTTCAACATTTTTTTGTGACAGTCATTAACTGAATGACATAGTCATTAAATGAATGGTGCCATCATTAAACAAAGCCATTCTTCCAAATGGGCAATTTTTTTCCCCTTGACACTGGAATAACACACCAACCTCGCCCCAAAGCACAGTCACATGATCATAGGACACTGCAACTGATCATAAAGCCAAGTGCCTGAAATGCAGTCACACGTGGGGAGAGCAGAACATTTTACACTGCCCAGATTTGGAAACCATTGTAACTCTGAAAGATTATAAAACTACCAGTCATAACTACTGGTAATATGATGGGAATTAAATCTGAGAACATTTCTATTGGCCTGCCAAACTTTGCAGCTTTACAGCTGTATAATGTATAATGTAACTATCAATTAATTTCTGGTTTTTCTAATTATATTTTTAAAACTTTTTAATTCTTTATTAGTGTCAACAGTTTCCAATTTTGGGGGGGGGATATCCAGTGGTGGGTTTCTATCGGTTCGCCCCAGTTTGGGCAAACAGGTAGTGGTGGGAGGCTCCACCCACCCACCCGGACATCATCACGGTTCTGCGCATGCACAGAAGCGCTGCGCGCGAGCACTTCCAGTTCCAAACTGGTAGAGAAGGTAAGTGGAACCCACTACTGGGGAAACCTCCAATTACCTTTCTGTCATAAAATCATGTCACTCTCTGATTTCTTGGATTACTTTTTGCATTACTTTTCAAACCTATCTAACCTGTTGAAAGCTCTTAAACAGAGCCTGGATCCCTGCTGTGAATTTAATTTACTCCCGCCATTAAATACAAACTTACATTCATACAAACACTGCAAACCATACTTCAATAATAAATGCTTATCACATTTTACTATGAGAGCCTTTGACCTGCTACACATAGAAATTATGGTCCAACAGTAGTAATAGCAAGGGTGTTTTGTTCACTGCCACTGCCACTGTCATATTGGAGCTACACACCGAAACTAGGAAGACTAAGAATAAAATTGACCAGCTTTTTATAAATCAAGTTTATTAAAATTAGATCAATTAAATACAATTATTACTTCCAGGTACCTTTTCCTTTCTTCTTTCACATAAAAAATACAGATTAAAGGACCAATTAGGAAATGTTGGTTATGCACCTTTTGTCCTCAGCACTTCTGTTCCTCAGTTTACATTTCCTACATTTAAAAAAGAAATGCCCTTTTAGTGATATCCTATGAACATACTGTAATTCTTCTTAACTTTGCTCTCTAATGAAGAAGTTTTGGAAAGGACGTACCGTTGACTGCAAAATATTTTCTCCTGCTAATTTTCACACGAATAGATGTGACTGCTTTAAAGTAAAAGTATTTATACCTCCTCTCATTTTACTGTTTCAATGGAAGAACAGGAGTTATAATTTTCTTCAGAATAAATATAATTATCAAGTTTACATGGCTGCCCATCTCACAAAAACTGGGCAGCAAACAGTGAAACCAATAATGTATCAATTTATTATTTACCAATAATTTATTTACCAATTATACCAATAATTTATTTACCAATTATACCAATAATTTATTTACCAATTATAATTTACCAATAAAATAATTAATAAAACAAAGGTAATGACAGGATTAAAATCAGAAATAGTTTAGTGTAATATAGCTACTGCATGGGTTCCTTGCCATCAGGGGATGCCCAGGCCTGGTGAATCTCCCCCACCCCCACCCCCATGTTTTAAGAGCTTTCCCAAAGACCATAAAGTTGGAACTAACCACTTAAGGGGCAATGATATTCCGAAGAGTGGGTACCAAGGCAGCAAAGGCTCATGTTCTAGGCCCCGCTTTATGGAATTTCTTGGCAGAGAGGATTCCATAGCATGCAAGTCTCTGCTGGACCTGATGGGACAGGTAGATGTAATCAAGGAGTGGCAGTCCCTTAGATAACCTGGTCCTGTGCTATGTAGGGCTTTAAAGGTCAAAAGCAGCACCTTAAATTGGACCCTGAAGCAAATTGGTAACCAACACTGCTCACAGAACATGACAAGTGTCCTCTAAAGAAACATGCAACAGCCCATGCAGCTACATTTTGCACCAGCTGAAGCTTCTAAATAATCAAGGCAGCCCCGTGTAGAGCACATTATAGTAGTCCATTCAGGATAGGACCAGGCAGTGAGATTAGCATAGTAACTGACAGAACTGGAGCAGGGGAAATCGTAGCCAGTATTACTAACAGTCAAAAAGATTGGAATTGCAGGCTAACAGTATCTGGAAAGCTCCTGTGATAGAAGATCTTTTTTCTGATATGAATGAGCTTCTGTTGTGAAAGATAACAAAATAGTTTAGTCTAAGCCTTACCCCCAAAAATGGAACAATATAAAATGAATGGTATTGATTTAATATAGGTAGTCCTCAACTTGTGATAATTCAAAGTTCTGACAGACCTACCAGGGGATAGTTATTACCGGGATTCAAAATTCCAATAGTTGGGCCTCATCCCCACAATCACATGATTGTGCTTCGGATACTCAGCAACCATGCTTCACAACCCACCACAAAAAGGTCATAAACCTGGGTCAGTCACATGACTTACCCACTTTACGACTATCACAAGTTACGAACATGAACAGTCTCATTATAGTTGTAACTCAAGGACTACCTATATTGAAGTACTTTTGGTAGGTCTCCCTGGCTTGAAACCACCTTCTATTCATATTACTGCAGAGAGCACAAGATTTCTCAAATTAGCAGCTTAAATATGTATTAATGTTGGGCTTTATTACTCACATGCCCTCTGTTTGACTTATGACACACTTGTTTAACATTACAAACAAAATTACAATTATTTTAAATGTAAAGGTTATCAGGCCACTTCCTGACACACTATCCATTGTTGACAGCATCATCTTTCAAAATACAGACCTTTAATTACTAATATCGTGATCATCCAGAAAATATTACATTATACGAGTTATTTTTATTGTTGCCAAGTTACCATACTTATATACACATTTCTAAACTGCTTGGGGTCAGCACCCAGAATAAATCCATCCAGACTTATTTGTAGACAGCACAAGCACTAGTCTGAAATTGGTTTCAAATTTCTCTCCAGCATCTTGTTAAGAAAAGCATTTGAACCATCCATTACTCTGTCCTGAGAAGAGAAGTTATCTTCTATCTCTTGTTGCTTTCCCTTGCCATAATGCATATTTGCACAGCTTCCTTCTCATGATTTTGTTTATAAAATGTCAAGTACTCCCCATTTACAGAGAGAAAGAGAAATCAGTCTTGCTTTTTTACAGACTTCAGTCAGCTCCAAAAAATTGAAGGAGGGAAAACATTACTTACAGACTCCTTGGAGTCTGAATGGTCAGGAAAAGTAAAAGTTATATTCAATGCACTTACAAATGATATTCATTTCACAAATCCTGTTCCTTTGCCAGGTATTTCATCAGTACCACAATTTTTCTAGCTGCCCAGAACAGAACATGTGTCTCTTAAGTCTCTTCAAATCCCCACTTCCCCAAAAAATTATTTAAAAATAGTTAAGATTAGGTTGGAATAGGTTAGATTCTTCTTGCTACTGCATTCCATTTCACTATGTGAAAAGCTGTCTCTGTATCTCTAAACAGATGCATGAAAAGGAAAAATAACTCAATAACATTGCTTTTCAGGATGTGTATTCAGAGAAGTGAAAAATCTTTGCTTAATAAAAGTGCTTTTCACACAGCTATTTAAAAAAATATTTGGAAGAAAACATTTCCTTTATTGAAAGCATACAAGTATATACATCATTGTTCAGAATCAAACTTCTTTCTACATAAGCCACTTTTATTAACTATAGAACATGCAGAAATTCAACAGGTATAGCTTTATTTCCCACTGATGGAAATAAACAGCACTGGGGACCCTCTCTTGTAAGCTCATCCCAGCCATGGACATTAGCTGGGTCATTTTAGGCTACTCTCTCAGACATTGTTTAAAGATCAAATAAAGTGCTATCCTTGTCTAAGTTGTTCAAAGAAATAATAGTAATATAATGATATAATAAAATATTAACACTTCCAAGTGCACGATTTTAGACATTCAACAGGTACTTGAACCTTATCCACAGAAAGTGGATAAGGTTATCCACAGAAAGCTCGTGCAAAGACTACGCGAAACGGTACAGCCTCTCTTCCATCACTACTGGGGCTCCGCGCGGGCGGTGACCGGGAACTACCAGGATTTCGGCTAGACGGGCCGATCCGCAGGTTTTCCCACGGCGCTGCCCCCGCGGAGCCACCCTATTCGGCTCATCCCTCTTTTCCTCTACTCACGGCAGAGAAGTTGTGCGGGCTGCACACTTCGCCTCGGAACTTGCAGGAGAGGAGCATGTCGTCGAGGCGGTGCCCGAGGCGATCGACGAACTCTTCGCTGATGCCACCGAAGTGGCGCGGTGGCAAGAAGAGCCGGAAGTCGGCCAACTTGGCGAACCAACGCAGTCGCTCCGGCTCGGCGCGCAGGAGCTCAGCAAGCAGCGGCCGCGCCGTCCGGTTGGGCAGAAGAAGGCCGAGCCAGTTGCCGGCGTAGTAGAGGTCGCCTTTGGAGAGGCGCGGGAAACGGAGCGGATTATTGTTACACAACGTGACGGCAGGGAAGGCCAGCTGACGGCTCCACTCTGTGCGCACCGTCGTGTGAGACGGGAAAGCCAGCCAATGGAGAAGCCGATTAGACGACCACGCCAGGAGCAGACCCAGCGAGGTTCCCAGGGCCAGAAGCCACAGTGCCCGCCGCCACGGGGCTGCTCGTCGCCAGTGTACCACCCGCAGACCCGGCAACCTCGGACGCTGTCTGGGCCGCCCCTTCGAAGCCTGCCGCCGCCGTTGCGCTGCCGCCATGCGAGCTCGCCGCCTCCCGCGCCCTCGCAGGGGGGGCAGCCGTGGACCAGCAGCAGCGGTAGCATCCAGAGGAGGGAGGGCGGGAGCGCTTGGCCGAGGGGACGGCCGCTCCACTCAGCTTCAGACGGACGCCGGCGGGCGGAATCCTCGTGGGCACCTCAGGGAAGCCCGGAACCCGAGCGCCTCTTCTCCCACCAGCTTTGCCGAGATAGGCGTCGGTTTCTAGTGCTGCTCATCTCCGCAGATCCAGGCGAGGAAGAGGAAAGGCGGGAGGAAGAAGAGAGGAAGAGAAAGGAGGCGGCGCTGAGCTCCTCAGTTGCTTCCCTGGCTACCCCTCAGCGCCCTTCGCTAACAGTGGAGGGGAGACTCAACGGGGAAATAGGAATGAAAGGGGGCGGCTCTCAACCTAGACCCCCCTCCCCCCCCCAGGCCGACGGGACTACCCCTCCTGCTTGCAGCAGATCTGCATCCAGACCTGGCCCACGAAGAGCAGCCTCTTCCGCGGGGAGAGCGAGGATGCGCTGCGGCTCCGCCTCCTCCAGAAGGCTGGGGGAAGGGGCGTGTACGACCGACCGGTTGTGGGGGGGGGGAGGTAAGAGGTGAGATTAAATCGGTTTAAAAGCGCAGATATTATTATAATTGCCTTGTGATGAACTGTGGCCAGCATCAATCTTGCCGAAGGAAAAGGATGCGTCATAAATCCTTTGGCTTTTGGAGTGAATTGTACATCTCAGCCGAGACTGTGGCGTTTCCAAAAGTTATTTTTAAAGGGAGGGGGAGAAAAGGCTTGCCAGGGCTTTAGGTTTCTTTCTCACACGTGTGTAGCGGAGGCTTGAGGAGAACGCAACGAAATTGTACACCGGCTTGAAGATGTTACTCGTTTATACGTTTCCGATAGGAAACGAGAATCACTAGGTCTGATCTTGTGATTTAAGGTTAAAAAAGATTAACAATAGATCGCCACATTTGTTTCTTTTACCATGCATTTCCAAATATTTGAATGTGCAGAATCCTCCTGATGCAAGGCCACCTGTGCTCTTTCTAAATTTGCCAGATTTTTTGCACTTTATATAAATTTCTTTCTGTATAGATAGAATAAGCATTATAGAATGCTTGATACAATAAGCATTATACAAAAAACAGGCTGAGACCATGAACCATGGTTAAGCATGAAGATAAGGATGGAGGGGAGGGGAGAGGAGAAGACAAAATGTTCTGGAGGGATCAACAAAGCAACAATACACAAAGGAGAAGGTACCTCTTGTAAAATTTGGGACCAAATAAGCAACAGGTCACATATTATGGTCTAGTTTCCTTTCAAAATTCTGCCTTAATATATAATTAATTATTCAGTCCACTTAACTATAAAAGCTCTGGAATTGATGGCTTTTCAGAAGGATTAAACACTTCCATCACTTTCATAGAGGTGTATATTAGCCATGATCATGGAAAGCACGCTTTCAAAAGCATTATGCTTTCTTCACTAGTTGCTAGGGTCAAACTTTATACAACTATTGCTACTTTATTCCAAGGTTGTTGGCTTTGCAAAGCTATCTAGCTCCTAAAGAATTCTGCATCTAATTCAGTTCCCATGCTTTTTTTCTTAGCCTTATCTTTATCCTTGTTGTAACTGCCTCTGTATTTTCCTTTTGTCTACAATTTCATTTCTTGTCTCCCCACTTCCAAAGAAATTAATAGAGCTGCTATATACAGGTAGTTCTATATACAGGTGGTTTAGGCTCTCAATGGAGCCCAACATTTATGTTGCTAGTGAAACATTTGTTAAGCAAGTTTTGTCGCATTTTACAACTTTTATTGCCACGGTTGTTAAGTGAATAATTGCAAATTTTGTTAAGTTAGCAACATGGTTGTTAAGTGAGTTTGGATTCCCCATTGACTTTGCTTGTCAGAAGGTCGCAAAGTTGATCACACGACTCCAGGACACTGCAGTCGTCATAAACGTGAACCAGTTACTAAGCATCTGCATTTTGATCATGTGACGATGGGGATGCTACAACTGTCATAAGTGTGATAAGCAGTCATGCCTTTTTTTTCAGTGCCAATGTATGGTACTAAATAGACTGAATGGTCACTAAATAGACTGTTGTAAGTCAAGGACTACCTGTAATGCTTCTTGGTTTACATCAGCATTTCTCTATAACTAACTGCAAATTACTGTATCTATCAAAAAGAAAAATACATTCTACCCCTTCCCAAATAATTTACATTTGAAAATGAAGATTGTCAAATTTGTTAAGAGTACAGTAATGAAGAGATTAACCTATTTTATTAATGTCAAATGGCCCAAAAGCAAGTTACAATTTATAATATAAACTTGTCATTGGATAAACCAGTTTAACAAGTAATATATTTAATAAATATTAGTTAATACAATTTTTAACAACAACCCAACAAGACAGACACAGACTTCAGAGGATAATTAGAACTGCAGAAAAAACAATTGCTACCAACCTGCCTTCCATTGAGGACCTGCATACTGCACGAGTCAAAAAGAGGGCTGTGAAAATATTTACAGACCCCTCGCATCCTGGACATAAACTGTTTCAACTCCTACCCTCAAAACGACTCTATAGAGCACTGCACACCAGAACAACTAGACACAAGAACAGTTTTTTCTTGAACGCCATCACTCTGCTAATCAACTAATTCCCTCAACATTGTCAAACTAGTTATTAAGTCTGCATTACTATTAATCTTCTCATTGTTCCTATCACCCATCTCCTACCACTTATGACTGTATGACTGTAATTTGTTGCTGTATCCTTACGGTTTATATTGATTGTTTCCTAGTATGATTTGATTGCTTCTTTGTACCCTATGAGTATCATTAAGTGTTGTACCTTATGATTCTTAACGAATGTATCTTTTCTTTTTATGTTCACTGAGAGCATATGCACCAAAGACAAATTCCTTGTGTGTCACACTTGGCCAATAAAGAATTCTAATCTAATCTAAATCTAAATGACTCTAAAAATAAGGCTTTTAATAAATCAGGAAGCTGGATTTTTAAATATTGTGTAATATTAATTAAATATTTTCCTTGTTAAATTTTTAGATTATATTTTTAACTTTTGGATTGTTAGGCTATACATAAAATTGATTGATCAATAGAAAGAGCCAATTATTTTAACTTTACCTTCCTTTTATGATTAGAGTTTGCCTTAATTTTGTTTTCCTTTGGGGCAAATGCTCCTCACATAAAGAAATCTTGCTGCGTTATCCATTTTTTTACTGCAAAAAACCAATCCGGAAGAAAAGGCTTTTGTCTTCTGCATGGATTGATGGTTTTCTGTATGAATGATAGATGAACACATGTACAATGGACAATGATGCACTGCTGTGCAGATCCATAACAGAAAAGTTGGGGTTTTGGGGAGGGAGGGATGTGTATCCAGCATCTCCTTTAAGATGGCACACCATTTTCTGAAGTTAAGAAGTCCCAGCAAAGTATGCCTTTAAAGAAGCAGGTGGTGATAGATACAACAACTCTAAAGTGACTCATCTTCACTTTTGTAACTTGAGAATGGATTTTCCTAGTGCTGCACACCTTCCATGTGTCACCAGGAATAATGGAGCTTATTTAAGGAAGCACTGCTAGGTATTTTTAAGCGCTCTTCCTCCCCCACCCCAGTATTTTTTCTGCTTTGAAATTCAATAGTAGGAATAGAGATCTGTAGACTAGACTTTTTAAGTGTTCTGCCACTCTAAAATTATTGCCTTCTTCCATAAGAGACTGGGGATGGGATCAGCAGATTCTGACAGGTTCTGGGGAACTGGTAGCAGAAATTTTGAGTAATTCGGAGAACCGGCAAATACCACCTCTGGCTGGGCCCAGAGTGGGGTGGGAATGGAGATTTAGCAATATCCTTTCCCCTGGAGTGAGGTGGGAATGGAGATTTTGCAGTATCCTTCCCCTGCCAGGCCCACCAAGCCATACCACGCCCACAGAACCAGTAGTAAAAAATTTTGGATTCCACCACAGAAGAGATTCAGAAGAGAAAGTTAGAATGATTATTGTCCTCAGATAAAGAGGACTTCAGAGAAGCAGGGATGATAAGAACAGGTCTCCTGGCTGGGTTTGGCATTGTGGCACAGCACTCCAAAAATCATGGGTGAAATGTAACTAGCAAAGTAAACTCAGTAAGGAAAATGCAGACAGAACCATCAGAGATCTTATACTTCTTTTGTTCCATTGGGTAGCTTTATATCTCCCATTTTCCATCCCTCTGTTGTTTTCTTCATCCTATTTATAGACTTCCTATTAGCTTTGATATTGGGAACTAAGTCTTGTATCATTTGGTACATTAATCCCTTTTACTTCATTGCTTTTACTAAAATAATGTAAAACTTTTGTGTTACTCTGACATTGAGTTTGTATTAATACACAGATTGAGCTTGATTAAAAGAAAACACTAGATACTTATTTCAATTCTTAGTCACAGGAAAGGAGAATTTCCTCTTGTGTCTCATCTAGATCCCCATTCAAGAACTGATGGTAGCAGTATACAGGTAATCCTCAATTTACAACCATTTGTCTAATGACCATTCAAAGTTACAACAGCATTGAAAAAAAGGGACTTACACTTACATTGCAAGCGTCCCCATAGTCATATGATCAAAATCCAGGTGCTTGGCAACTGGCATGTATTTGCAACAATTGTAGTGTCTCAAGAGTTAGGTGACCTTCGAGACCGACTTCTGCCACCGGCCAGTTCGCTCCCACAGAGAGGATCTCCTTAGGGTGCCATCGGCCAAGTTATGTCGGCTGGTGACACCCAGGGGGAGGGCCTTCTCTGTGGGAGCCCCAGCCCTGTGGAACGAACTGCCCCCGGAAATACGTAAGATCTCCGACCTCCGGGTGTTTCGTTGTGCACTCAAGACCCTGTTGTTCTGCCAGGCTGGTCTATCGACATAACAATTTTAAATTGGGTTTTAAATTTCTGGGGTTTTAAATTTGAGCCAAATTCATTTAATAATTTTAAACTATTTTAACTGATGTTGTCTTGTGTTTTAATAGGCTGTACACCGCCCTGAGTCCTTCGGGAGAAGGGCGGTATAGAAATAAAGTTATTCTTATTCTATGTGGGGGCATTGAATTATGGGTGTGGGCACATGCAGGCACAACCCCCCCATGCTCCCCATGCTTTTGGCACGCAATGGCAAAAAGGTTAGCCATCACTGCCTTAGGTGTATTGTTACATCCATCAGCCAAAACTCATGGGGAACAGTTGACATTCCAGGAAGAGATAGTAACATTTATTTGTTAGAGATACACATTATAATTGGTATAGTAAAAACAGATGTATTTAAGATTATATATAGCTATAGAAAAATACTAATGACACAAGAATGGCACTTCCTCTTCATTTTTTTTAAAAAAAGGTTGCGCTCAAAAGGACGCAGCTCATTGGTGCTAATTGTATGGGACTAGCAAATGATGTTTAGATTGCTGCAGATTCAAGAAGCAGATTTATTATATGATTTGCTTTTAGAAAATGTCAGTGATGTCTCAG